ACCTCTGGGGCCTCCCTGAGCAATAGCCCACAAGGAGGTTATTGTGATATATAACTCATGTCTTCTGGGAGTGCCATTGTCCACCCATGCAGGGTAATGTCAGTCAAACTCTTCTATTTTTAAATTTTGAAATTAGCTTACTAACTAGTGGGTTTCCATAAGACTTTTATACACATCCTTAGTTTGGTTAGCCTACCCACTACCCCCACCTTGCCTTCATCCTCCCAAAGTTCTCCCCACTTAATCCTTTAACTCCTGTATTCCCTCCTCTTCTTTTATATCATATATATTTTTAAAAGCAAGAAATACCGATATTTTATTTGGATATTCAAAGCCAAGGCATGAGTGAGAAAATGCAAACGGGGCAGGGAGAATGGAAAGTATTAGGAAATGACTTGTTCCACTCTGGACACTGCTTCATGACCAGCCTTGAAGAGGCAGGCGTGCTCACTGGCTGTTCAAGAGGTCTCTCCACAGGCTGCATGTGGGAAACAAACAGCACTCTACAATCCATGGGATGGAGAGGAGGCAGAATGTCTCTGCCTGACTCTCCATCTCCCACAGCTCACTAGTCAGTTTTTGCCCCACTGAGCATTAGCTCCCCACAAGGCTCAGTTGTGCAGTCACATGAATGCCAGACGCCATGTTTTGTGGTGTGACATTCCATCCAAGTCTGATGGGACGAGACAGGAACTCTGGGTATGTGGATGGTCAATGCCGGGGAGATTCTGACATATGTATGACATGTCCAGGACCATCCAGTACTGTTTTTATTTTTCCAGACATAGTGTTTCCCTAGGACATAGACATTCCCTAGGATGTTTGCTAGTGAGTGATAATTTTATAGTTTGAACATAGTCTGGATCTGGAAACTGTGTAAGACCCAGGTACAGAATGTGGGTTCATGGAGCAGACAAACAAGAGTTACTGAAGGATTTCCAGCTGGGAAGCCACATGAGTTAAAAGCATTCTAATAAAGCCCTCTCCGTGCTCCATCTTCCCCTGCGTAACTCTCCCTCATCCTTCCCCATTTAAAGCATCCCCATTTTTCCCTTGATAACACCTGTCTCCTACTATCCCCCTCTCTCAGGCTCCTTCCCTTTTCCCCTCGTGGTTCCTTTCCATTTTCCTGGATCCCACAGTTGCAACAGAATATATACTCACATCTAAGGATATGAAGCTAAGATTCACAAATGAGAGAGAGAACATGCTTGTTTTTCTGAGTCTGGGTTACCTTACTTAGTATACCAATTTCTAGTTCTATTCACTCATCTGAAGGTTTCATAAGGATCCCATTTTTAAAATTGGGTTGTTTTCTTAATGTTTAGGGTTTTTTTAGTTATTTGTAAATTCTAGATACTAACCCTCTGTCAGGAGTATAACTAGTAAAGATCATTTGCTATTCTGTGACTGCTTCTTCACTCAAATGATGGTGTCCTTTGCTACTCAGAGGGTTTTACTTAGTTTAATATGGTCCCATTTATCAATTATTGGTCTTGATGCCTGCACTATTGGGGTCTTGTTCAGGAAGTCCTTTCCTGTGCCTGTAAGTTCAAGAGTATTCCCTACTTTCTCCTCTAGCAGAGTATTCAGGGTATCAGGTCTTATGTGGAGGTCTTTGATCCATTTGTAGTTGAGTTTTGTGCAAGGCGAGAGATAGGGATCTAATGAAACTAGAATCAAACTTCTACGTGTAGCTATCCAGTTTGACCAGGACCATTTGTCTAACATACTGTCTTTTCCCCAATATGTATTGTTGGCCTCTTTGTAAAATATCAGATGGCTGTAGTAGAGAAAGCCAGCTGGTCCTGACCTGGAAGCTTCATCCCTACTGGCCAGCTTTCATAGTGCTGGAAGGCACTATGCACACTGCCAGAGGAGGACAGTAATCGCCAGTCTTCTCCAGCTGTGGACCCTGTGAGCTGCAATAATGACTGGCCTGGTAAGACTTGCCCATTGGTGCAGTACAACATAAATGTCATGGAAGTAACCACTTTCTCACTGGACTTAAGGTCTCCTCCAGAAAATGAAACTCTTACCTGGCACTATCATCAGGGCCAAAAATCTGTGGCTAGACAGGTCAAAGGCCCTAGGGGAGAACCTACTATTATTCTGCTTTAATTGACTCCACTCCTAATGACTTAAGGTTATATCCATGGGTTAGTGCATCTCTCAACCCTCATCAGAGAAGCTTCTTTTTGCAGTCGATGGTGATTAACACAGAGACCTACAACTGATCAAGGTGCACAGAGCAAGAGACTGCAGAGTGCTCAGCCCTAAATGGGACAACTGTATCACATGAACCTTTTACTCCCAAGGATCAGGGATCATCGAGGAAGAGGGGGCAGCAAGATTGTGAGAGCCACGGAGGTGGATGACTACAATGAAAAGTGCTTTCAGCACACAACAGGGAAGTTACACATGTGAATTCATAGTAGTTGTGACAGTGTGCACAGACCTGTGCAAGCCCAAGCAGATAAAACCCAGCATGTAGAGGGGAGGTGGGCATGATGTCCACCTCTAGCTGAGGAGCTATTGGTAATTAATAGCTTCTGGGAAAGGAGTTAGTTTTTGTTAAGGGTGTGGTCTCTAGTAGGCTGACCATACTCCAGTGGATGGCCACACACCCAAGAGTATATGGGAAGTACAAAATGGACTCAGTGGGTCTAAAAAATAAAAGAAGACATGAAGTTGGGTGAATAAGAAATGAAGGTGGAGCTGGGAGAAGTTGGGGGAGGGGAGTGAATATAATAAAAATACATTTATGAAATTCTCAAAAGAACTAATAGAAAGAAAGAAAAAAAATATTGTTTATGGGGCTGGGGATATAGCTTAGTGGGAGAACATTTGCCTAGCACGTGCAAGGTCTTGGGTTTACTGCCCAGTGAAAAGAAGGAAGATAGGAAGGGAAGGAGGGAGAGAATGAAGGAAAATTTAAAAAGAAAAGACAACATGTGCTGGTGAGGATGTAGGGAACAGTGCAAACTGATGCCGCCATTGTGGAAATCAGTGTGACAGTTCCTCAGAAAACTACAGTCTACCATATGACCCAACTATACCACCTCTCGGCATATACACCCCAAACTCTATTTTCTACTACAGAGACACAAGCTCATCCATGTTCATAGCTGCTCTGTTCACAATAGCAAGGACACAGTCTAGATGTCCATCAACAGATGAATTGATAATAAAAATGTGGTACCTAAATACAACAGAATTTTATTCAGCTGTAAAGGAAAATGAAATTTTCAGGTAAAAGGATAGACCTGGAAAACATTACAGAGTAAGGTAACCCAGACCCAGAAAGACAAGCATTACTTGTTCTCATATGTAGATCTTGGTGTCAAATAATTTGGAGTAATGCAGAATCCAGAAAAGTAGAAAGGGAACACTGATAGGCAGGGAGAATAAAGATCTTAAGGGTGGGGGATAGTAGAACACAGGTGCTATGAAGAGAAAAGGGAGGATAACGGGGAGGGAAGTTTAAGTGGGGAGAGAGATGGGTGGGTAGGAGAGGAGGGGATTGAGGGAGAGATAATTAACTCTAAGGATATTTGAAAAACCCATATGGAAGCCTAGTATTATATATACTAAGGAGATAATGCTTATCCTAGAAGCCATAGATTGCCAATAAAAAGGCCAGTGCTAGATGTGAGATACTTCTCTTCAAGTTGTTGGTCAGAGGTGTCCCAATAGTAGGCTTTGGCACTGCTCTTGGTTGTCCACCAAAACTTGAATGGTAAAACCCTTCTTCTGAAGACACCATGCCATTGGTCACAGGAAATGCGGTAATCGACCAGGTACTGACCAGGAAGCTTCCTTCCTGCTGGTTAGGCTTAATCGTACTGGGAGGTGCTATACAGGCTGCTGGGAGGAAAGAGTCATCAGCAGTCTCACCCAGCTGTGAATCCTATGAACTTCAATAATGCCCAGCATGGCAAGTTATGCCCATGGGTACAATAGTGGCACAAATGTTATAGAGGTAACCAGCCACTTTATGATTAGATTTAAGCCCTGTTCCACAGGAGGAAACTCAAGCCTGTTACTGTAAATGTGGCCAAGAACCAATGGTTGGAGAGTTTACAGTCCCCAAAAGTAAATGTTTGATTATTTTGCTAAATGTAAATAGTTCAAATTTCTCTCTAAATTTGAATCTCTCTCCCCATAGATTAGTACAGCTCTCAGACCTCATCAAGTTTCTTTGTGCAGTAGAAGGTGGTTAATGAGGACACTCACAACTGATAGAAGTACAGAGAATAAGTGATTGTTGAGGGCTCGGCCACAAAGGAACATCCATATCACATCCCCTTCCCAAGGATCAGGGACCATCAAGGAGGAGGGTGTGCAAAGATCCTCAAAGCCAGAGGTTGGAAAAGACCAGAGAAAAACAGAGTCTTCTGAACACAACAAGATCACCTGGAGTGAGAAGGGGTTCATGAGCCCTCACCCCTAACTGAGGAGCTGCAGACAGTTGATGGCTATGGGGGATGGAGGAGAATCAGTTTTCTTTAAGGGTGCGGCTCCTGGTAGGTCGATGATGCTCCAGTGGGTGGCCCCACACCAAAAAATATTTGAACAACACAAATTGGAGTTGATGGCTTATTAATTTTTTTTAAAAAAATGAGACCATGAAGTTGTGGGATGGAGAAGAGGAGGTATACATAGGAGGAATTAAGGAGAGAGGTTGAGGTAAAAAGATTTTAAAATATGTCTCTGTCCAAAAATTCTTGAAAAAAAAATAAGCACATGGAGAAAAATGGATGCAGATAGTGAGGAAGGTGTAAAGAAAAAGAGAAAAAAGCAGCATCTTGGTGCAAAAGGCATAACACCTGAGAGAGAGAGAGAGAGAGAGAGAGAGAGAGAGAGAGAGAGAGAGGTGGAGAGACATGCAGATGAGGCTATAAAGGTCTCATTCATTGGATGTCTACATTTAGTCACTTCTGAAATCAACTTGACCCCAGGCTTCCTTGCTACATGAACAAAATAAGTCTGAGTTGGAGTCTAGCCTTTGGAATCACAAATAGTACTTTATTGCCGGCCATAGTTTCTCAAAAATAAAAATTAGCCTCAATGTGACTCTGCCGGAGATATCTGAATCATAGAGACCAGAGGTCACACCATCTGCCCCCCAATCCTACCATGTGTAGCTGCACAATACACACCAGCTAAGAGGAGGCTGGGGTGGTGTGCGAACACTGCACTGAATGGCAAGACCAAGAACCACGAAGGGTGTGACAGCTGATGCCGTCCCCTCAGCTTCCTTACGTGGCGCCTACACTGCATCTACTCTTTGAAGGAGCACCCCCTCTTCTGGGTCACCCGGAGACTGGCTCCTCCCATCCCACACTGCTTCCTCCCTCTGCTCAGCTAGGAGGCTCAGAATACAGATAACTCAGATCGTGTTTAATTATGAACAAAGCTCTCCAGGTGGGAATGTTCTTCAGCAGTCTGGGAAGACAGTGGAAACAGAGACAGGCTTTGGGGGTCTCTGTAGATGCTGCTGCAGGGCATGGGCAGAGGCTCTGGGGTCAGGTGAGGAGCAGAGTCGCAGCCAAAGCCTTGGGAGGTGACCTGGCAGCCGCACTGGAGCCGCTGGGGAGCTTGACTTTAGAGGAAACAGGCAGGCTGAACAGACTGGGGACTAAGCAGGGACAAGCAGGCCTTTCAGAAGAGTGAGAGCAATTCAGCCAAAATACTCCCATGAATCAGTGCAGGAGCCCTGTGGGAGAGAGGAAGTGGTCAGCACAGGTGTTCTGAGAGATACTTGCACACCGCCCCAGGGTCCCTTACAGCTTCAGACAGAAGAGGCTGAGGCCCAGAGCATACCACTCCCATTCCCCATTAACTGTATAAACATGAAACCAGCAAAGAGAACACATAACTTGACCTGGACACACACGTGTGGGAGGTAGAGAAGCCCCTCCCCTTCCAGGGACTACAAAGGGCTAGATCTCTTTGGGGACTATGAAGGGGCAGATCTCTTTGGTGGGTTGGTGGTGACTCAGCTTCTTTCCACCACTTCCTGTCTCTTCCAGTCACTCTCAGTGTCCACAGGCAGTGGGCTCCAGCATGGACACAAAGCAGGCATCACATTGCTGTCTAACCCCAAGGCGTGGCTCAGGCCCCAAGTTTCACAGAAAGAGGGCACTAAAGTTATGGTGGCAACACAGTGCTCTGGGAACAACCTACGAAGTTCCCTACAGACATGGACAACCTTCTCCCCGAACCCTGACCCCACGGGAGGGACCAGGCCACCAACTGGGACTTGTGCAGGGTGCACCTGCCTCATGCCCTTCTCGCTCACCCCCATACCCCTGCCCCACCCCAGAGTCAGGGCTGAAATACTACCTGCTGGTGGAGGCCCACGAGTTCCTAGAAAAGAAAGTTACACAGGGAAAGTTCTCGTTATACAAACAGTGACTCTCACACACAGCCCAAGAGGAAATGACACATGCAGTTTAGGTAGAGCTGCTCTCTCATCATCTCTGTTCTTTAAGGCCCTGAGCACACCCCGCTCCCCAAAATGGATGAAAGCACAGCGGAAGGAAGGGAAGCAAGGCTCAGGTTCTCAGTGGAGAAGCTTCTGGAAGGAGCCAGTGAGACAGTGGTAAACAGCAAGAAAGTTGCAGAATGAGCTCTACCGTTGGCTCTGTGGCACAGCTACCCTCTAATCAGTGAAGCCAGATTCCAATGTCTCCCTCCCCTGGGATCCCCCCACCACCAACCCAGCTCCTTCCTTCAGAGTTAGGAACAGAGTTCCTCCAGAGACAGAATGCCCTGAGCAGAGGGTCGCAGGTACAACCCCTCATCCCCACTGCTCCCAGAGCTCCTCACCTTTCTGACTCCTGTGACGGATGAAAACACCCAACCCAAGGAAGATCAGCCCCAGCACGAAGCCCCCGATGCCACTCAGCATCTTGCTCTGTGCAGATTCAGACTGTGACCCTGGGGAGCAGAGCCTAGTGTCAATGTTTGTCCCCACAACCCACAATATCCCTGGCTGAGAACCTGAAGGCCAGCCTGAGTTTCATGAGGTGGAGGAGCCAGGAGACATGGCTCTCTATGCTGACCATGTTCAGAGGATCAACAGACCAATCAGGAACTCTAGAACACAGCAGGCGGGTGGAAGAGAGGGACTAAGTGGATGCCTGGTCCTCACAACACACCCATATCCTTAGGCCCTAAGAGCCCAGTCACCAGCCACAACTGTCAGTTCCTCAGTGTCAGGATGGGATCCAGGATCACAGTGTATAGAGTGATCTCCCAGGACCTCTGTCTGGAAAGACAACTAAGGATCCTTCAAAGGGGCAAAAAAATCTAGTTTTCTGTTGTTCTCAGCTCAGTAGTGGAATCAGGACAAGTTCTGGGAACCGGGGTGTTAGAGAAATGGGCTAGGGACAGGTGGACATCTTGTCTTGTGGGACCTGCAGTGAGACAAGCAAGTTTCCCTTACTCCACTCCACAGTGACAGGGCTCTGCAGGCTGGGGTGCTCCACATGGCAGGTGTAGACATCTCCACGCTGAGGTGTCATCTCCAGCATCACCAGGATCTGGAAGGTCCAGTCCCCGTTCTTAATAAGCTGCGTGGATACGACTCCTGTTGTCTGCTCCTGGCCATTCTGGAACCACCGCACTTTGATCTGGCCTGGGTAGAAATCTGTCACCGAGCAGACCAACAGGTTGTGGTGGTTGAGGGCCTCTGTCTTGGACAAAGAGATGGTCACCTTGGGCCTCTCTGGGGAACAGACAGGAAAAGACATCATGAGTGAGATGTGATGCACAGGGCATCTCCCCTGGGGAAGAAGAGGGGTGGGAATCCCTAGGTTCCATGTTCTGAATGAAGATCCATTCAACAAATGTAAATTTGACAGTCATTGAAAACACAAGATAAACACCGCTCCATGACCCTAATTTTATAGAACTGGCTGGCAAGCTAGTAAGAAACAAGAAAATGAAAAATGAATGTCGTTTCAAAAGTTTACAATTTGAAGAAAAAGTAGGGGAGAGTTGAAAAGAACAAAACACCAGTTTGTCGTCCCACTTGCTGTTCAGAGTCAAAAACGACACATCTTTCTCTTACCCATTACCTCCCAAACCTTTTTACATTTCCCATACTCTGTCAGGATGAACTGCGTACTTACTTAATGTGTATTTCATTATTTGAGATCCATTGTTCAGCCACTCCCCACCCACCCCTGTGTATTTTCCTTTAGTTCTCAAGTTTAATCTCCAGCTGTGCTTCCTACGCCCTCCCCCCTGGTCTGAAAGCAGACACTGTCCTGTCTGCTCTTCTCAACACGCTGACATTCCCGCAGAGGCTGCCTGGGTTAGGGAGAGCACAGTGTGAACTGATAGTCTCAGAGGTCAGCAGGTCGCGTTGGCTTCTCACCCCTGACACTCAGAGGCCCTAACTGCAGGGACATTTTCAGTTTGGTCTGAAAACTCATTCAGGCTCACTTTCCTGGACTCAGACTAAAATCAGGGACAGCTAAATGGGCAGTGATTACTAAATGGACAAGCTTAACTTTTAGAGTATGTACTCTGTACATGATGACGCTGGTGGTCAGAGGAAGCCTAGGTCAAAAGCAGCCTGAAGCAGCTCTCTGTTCAGTCACTAACGACTGCTGTTTATTTATTCCACAGCTTCAGCTCTTTACACCATCTGTGGAGTTTTCCTAAGAGATTAAACCTCTGCCTTCAACATCTTCCAAGTGCTGTTTGTGTTTTTAGCATTTTCCTCCTCAGATTTTATAAATTTCTGATCAGTACGATCCAAACCAATGAGTTTCCTTCAAAGCGTGAAGAAAATAATAGTAAGGAACCTTTCAAGGTTCTGTTTAATCTTTCTTTTCTCTCCTGTGTAAATGAGGACCCTGGTGTATACACCGTCATTAATTTGACAAAGGTTCCCTGAGCTCACGCTGCTGTCCAGTGAGGACTTCCGGTCAGTGGCAGGCAGGCACCAGCTGCCACCAGGCAGCCCAGGCCCTGGAAGAGCTCAGGACAAGTGTCCTCTGGGAAGAAATTACTATGGTAACGAGCGGACACCAGACAGTTAACTGTCTCCTCAGGACTGCGGCATCTCACAGGGGGCGCGGGGGCCCAGGTCCTGTGGAGCTCTGACTCCGTGTCCGGCTCCAGGGGCTCTTTAGACCCGCCGGACTCGGCACCCAGCACCCAGCACCCAGCACCCAGCACCCGGCAGAGCCGAGGTGCTGGAGGGACTGGAACGAGGTCCGCACAGAGCAGGAAGGATCCGCGGAGACCCAGCGGGAACTCGGCTGCGGACCAGGCTTCCTCCCGGCGACCGTCCAGGTCCCAGGCCCCGCCCCCACCCCGCGGACCCCGCAGGAGACTGCACCCGCTCACCGAGCCGGCTCAGGGCGGTGGGGACCTCGGTCAGCTCGTAGTTGTGTCTGCAGACCGTGTCCAGCTCGGCGCGCTTCTGCTCCAGGATCTCCTGCTGGCTGTTCCAGTAGTCGGCTGTGGGCCGCCCCAGCTCGGTCACCGCGCGGAACTCGCCCACGTCGCTGTCGAAGCGCACGTACTCCTCCTGGTTGTAGACCCATCTGATAACACTACGGATGCGCTGCGTCCCGTTGGTGAAGTAGCACAGGCCCTTGAACTGGTACACGGCGTCCCCTGCGGGACACACCGTCAGCCGGTCTCAGCCGGCTCCGCCACCCGGGAGGTCCTGGCTGCGGAC